CAGCATAGCTTTATGCAGATTGGACTATGATAAGGTTGTTAGTAATCAGCTCGTTTCAAAACAGTGTGCTAAGCAAAATGCAGAGTTCACCTTGTTTCCTGAAAATTAGCAGTTTGAAAGCTATATAAAATTGGCTCTAGTTCTGAAACCATCTTGGGAGTGATTAGTTTTCACATTACTTTTTTGAGGGTAGCATGCACAGCTGCTATACAAAGAAGCAGTCTTTCTGGGTACACAGTATCTGTGAAAATCAGATTCTTTTTTTTTTTCCAAGTTTTCCTTCGTTAATAGTTGAGCAGGCTGTTGTGGCATTTGGGTTTAATTTGCTGGCATTGATGACACAACCTATTTAATGCATTAGTGCGAATCTTAATTGTTCTACTTAATGACAAAAAGAAGGATGCAGTATCTGGGGGCCACTGAAACCATTAGAGCTTCCTGGCTAGGTTCTGTGGGTGTTATGCAGCTAAAGATCTCCAGCCATTACCACACAGGTTTACCTGTAAATTTCAGAATACCAAGCCTTGTAGCTATTCTCCAGGAGTGCCAGGTTGCAGAAAAAATATTTACTTTCTCTCTTCCTCATTCTAGTATATTTGTTTTCCCTAATTCTCTGCCATGTAACTAGGGAAAGTAAATCTAATGACTAAGTAACCTCTCATGTTGGATTATGGTTTAGACTTCTTATCAGCTTCCATTGTGTAAGTGTAATTTGACTCATGGGAGAAGAACTGTTATCAAATTTATGTTTCTTTGAAAGTTTTGGTAAAAGATAGTGATTTATAAAGTTTTTCTACATCTTAAGCCATTATAAACCATGTTTTGCTGATGCCACACTTTCCTGAATGGACAGATATTGTGTAGCTGGTGGGGCTTTACTGACTTCCCTGATTAATGTTTTCAATTCTTTAATTAATTTTTTTTTAAGTATAAACTGTGTTAGGTGGAAGAAATAGTACAAATCTGCAAAGATTTATCGTGTTGTTTATATATTAAAAGTTGCATGTATATGCATGGGGAGGATGTATGTGGGTAGTGATACCACAGAACAGAATTAACCATTATAACTCTTGCAGAATTGCCTAGAAACTGCATCTATATGAGATTGTGTTCTGGTAAGCTAGATTCCCAAGAACTTGAGCACCTAATCATTTAAAATACTGATTCTCAAAGTCTGGATCCATTAAGTTCCATCTTGCAATTGCAAAAAATTCTTAGAGCTGTAGGTACCCTGGAAATCTGCTGCCATTCAGAAACAGAATTACCCATGTCTTGATTGTGCTGAGTTGCCTGGTATCTGTGCTATTCCCAAACTGCAGGAGGATTCAGAAACAAGGTATTTTACCTATGGGATACTATCTAATTCACATCTTCTATGCTTAACACCAGTGCTTTTCATCTACCTCATTTGGACTATAGGAAGAAATAGTTGCAACAACTGGTGGGACTAAAGGTTTTGCAATTCAAAGCTTTACTGCATATCAGGTAGAGGAAGGACTTGAAGATAGATTGTTTATAACATACACTTGTGAGTGTTAATTGATCATTTGCTAAAAAGGACACTGATATCCCCTCAGTTTGGTTTTTTGTTTTGGTTTGGTTTGGTTTTGGTTGGGTTGTTTGGGGTTTTTTTGAGAGGGACGACAGATCGTGCTGAGCACTTTTAACTGTAGGACAAGGCTCACAGTTGTGAATCAAAGTGAATTTAAGTGACTGAGTTTCTTCTATCAATCAGGGATCCTAAACATATCTCCCCCATGGTATTTTCTCTTAGTTAGGTCAGCCAGTTGATATGAGACATATCTTTATTGTTGAACAAGGAGCCTAAAGATGTTAGCTTGCAGCTGTCAGTTCTGCTGGGTAGAAAGACACTATCATCATGAGCGTGACGACAAAACTTCAGTAGTTTTAGTGAAATGCAAATGAAAAGTAGAAACCACTCTACCCTTAAGAGATCACATCGTAAAGTGGCAAAACAGAAAAGCTGTGAAGCAGAGGTATTTCTATCTTACAGGTGAGGGACCAATGTGTTGGCTTGCCAAGGTTCATAAAACAAATCTCAGCTAGGATCAAACATGACTGTCCTTACAGTAGAAGGCATCAGAACTAGAAGGAAGTTGCTCATGAGATCCCAATCTTTATTGCTGGGAAACCAGAGGACCAAAGCCTCTTGTTTCTTTTTTACTTGAACATGTCCATTTGAGGATTTTGTGCACGTATACAGACTTTTCGAGGATCCATCTCTGACTAAGTGAAGATCAGCTGTACTCCACATGCAAAAGAGACCAGATGCTCACAGAAACATTAAACATACACACAGCTAGAAAATGATATTAAGGTAAGGTAACTACATCAGCTACAGAGATGGGAAGCAAAGTTTAGAATTCTGATTATCAGGTCAGACTCTGATACCTACCTCTGGAAGGTAACATGCTTCCCTAATGAACAAGAGCACCTTTCTTTCTGCAAAAGCCACTGCTGGTCATATGCCATTTTTAATTTTTTAAAACAAGAAAGAATTTTTATGATTTCACTTGGAATCACCAAAAGTTTCTTTACATTTTGTATGTGTCTACAATTCTGGAGTTATCTGTTAGTTCTAGATTGTTTTTTTCTCCAATTTTGGCTTTCTATTCTTATAAGAGAAAAAGAAATTTCTCAACCCTTAAAACTGTTCTCAGGATTTGCATAACAAGTGTGTAAGCAAAACTCAAAAGGCTCATTCGTGCCCTCATTATCCAGTCTCCACTTCAGCAGTGTCATTTATCAAACAAACATGACACTATATAAAGGGGACTTGTGCAAACTGCTTTTTCACTTCACTTTGAAGCGGAAGGGTAAGTTGAATTTCCTTTTAATAAATCACAAGGAACTTCAGCTAGAAGGCAAACTTGTTCCTTTTCATTTCCATGGTCATATATACATTTTAAAATTAAGTTTTCCTTTATTAGTATTTTTTACTTTGCCTATATTAGTGAGGAGATGCCTGAAGGACACCAGATTGTAATGACTGATGAAGGTCATTAGAACCAGATTAAAACTGAAGAGCTGTTTTTTCCATTTTGCTATATAACTGATCAGGACTCTGCCTCTGCATCATAATCCAATTATGAGCTGGATGCAGTAGTCCATTCAAACGTAATTCCCTGAACAATCAGCACCAGACGAAGAGCACCTTTTGTAATTGCATTTTTTTATCTCAGGGACATAAGTATTCCTAGCTATCCAAGGTAGGTTTCTGTTACAGACTTTAATAATCTGCTGAGTCATTGGCCAGCATTGTCAGAGGTGTCCGCTAGCCTTCAATATAGTAAAGGGTAAACAACCTGAGACACTTCAGATGCAACACAAGAACCTCAACAACACTTTTAATATAGCACATGTGTTCTCAGGTGGATTTGAAATTCCACTCCTTAAAGTGGAAATTCTTGACCATGAGGAATAGACACTGCTATTACTTAAACAGATTCTATATGCAGCAAAGTGCTGAAATTTATGACATAATTGAGTATTCTTATGTTCAAGGGTATGTCCCACTGAATTGATGGTTATGAGACATTCCTCTAGAAAAACAAGTACACTTTGCCCTTAAAAATAGTTTGTATTGGTGCAGATTTAGAATAATGTCAAAAGCCTTCTATGATAGAGTCAGTCTGGAAGATGTAAACAATAGGGGGTTTTTTTTCCTCAAAGCTTAGTCCAGTTTTAGTGTATCCATTTAATAAATTGTAATAATAATAAACTAATATTTTGATGCTGCTTGGCATATATGCTTTGAAACAAATACCTTGTTTTAGCTGATGAGCTGAGGTGTTAACAATCTTGCAGCATTCAAGCTAAACAAGATTTTATTCTCAACTTTAAGTGGAGCTGGATTCAGAACATATTTTTCAATTAAAATGATCTTGTCAATTCTGAATTTTTTTAAGGATGGAAGTTTTTAAGAGAGTGTAGTACATGATCCTCTCTAATTCATGCCAAAAGAAAAGTGAAGTCATGGGTATTAAGTTACCTGTTTTGTATGAGAGTCAGCCCATCAGGGTCATCTCATTAGAAAGGGATACCCATCCCTTTGAACCTTTCTTTATCTCTCATTATTTTAAGTGAATAATGCCAATAACTGGCTATCTCTATACCATAGTGTCTTATAGTCCATCAATCGGTTCAGGTTTTGTAACTGCACAGCATTACAAATGCTGCATTGCAAACCCAAGATCTGTAGTTTCAGAGTGCTTTTTAGTCATGATATCTCAGCACTGAGATTATAACCCTACTTAATGTTATAGCTGAAAGGATAAAATAAGATGAACAGGCCTATTGCCAACCAGCAAAGATGCATTTTCTACAAGACTAAATCTGACGTTTTCAAGCTTCTGGAATTTTGTTCAAAACAAGATAGGAATGTCAATTGAGCTATAAAATTTTGCCCATGTGTAAAAGACTATCAGTCTGCTTATTTCAAATAAATGTGCTTAAATAGTACAGTGCTTAAAGAGGTTGCTAACTAGCTCCAAACTATCACAACAACCACTGTAACAGATTGTGCCTTTTAGGTTAGCAGCATGTGCATCTATGTTTCATTGAGTGATTATAGTCCCTACAGACAACTAATGGCTTAAGCATGATCAGTTACATCTGAGCCCATCATTTCTCAAAGATTAATCCAACAACAAATAGTCAGTGATAGCAAAAAGGCTAATTTGTCTTCACTACTCCCAAACATGTAGCTTTCATTCTGTAATGAGCATATCAATCTGTATCAGTCTAGAAACAGTTTTGTGTATAAGCTATGCAATGGTAGCAAAATAAATCTGGGAAATCTCTTATACCTGAACTATAGACTTTATTTAAATAAGGAAAGAATGTAAATTTCAAGAAGAGACAAATGAGGGGGGTGGGGGGGAGAAAATTATTCAATTATATAAGCCAATGCCTACAATTCCTTACAGAATCACTGCCTGACAAATACGTGGGTTTTCTTACAGCTGACTTGAGCAATCATGTTGTCTTACGCATTCTACATGCTCACAGCAGTAGCTGCTTTGCTAGTGACTTGCCATGCACTGTGTAAATGTCCAGGACCTGGACTGTCTGTGAGAGATGGTCTGAAAGGATGGCCACATCCACCACGTAAGTAAACTTCCCTTTTTTTGCAAAGAATCCATGTCATGAAGGCTATATGAATAAAAACAGTTAACACAGAAGGACATGTGCCCTCAAGAAAGCAGCTGTGTTTAGCAAGGGAGGGAAAACTGAATGGAGGAAATGGTCAGTTTAATTTTTTTTTTTCCTAAAAGATAGGCCTCATCTCTCTTCTGGCAGAAGAGAGAAAATAAACAGGTTATCAATACTTAAACATATAAATGTAATATATATATATATAATCTTTGTAGTGCTTTTCTATTGACTTTCCAAAGGGAATTGCTTCTTTCACAGCAGAAGCTTTTTCTTTTTTTTTCAAGCAGGAAGAAAATGTTTATTCCAGTATTTACAAGTATAATTAAAAAGCTTCTGGCACATTTCTCTAGTATTCAAAGACAGTATGTGCAAAAGTAGTCTGGTAAGGAACACACTTGGCACTGGGTAATTTTCTTTCTACGTAGAAATGCTTTCTTCAGGTCCATTACCAAGGTTAAAGCACTATCAAAGTTATTCATAGATGTAACATTTCAGTTTGAGATTATTCGAATGAAAAAAAATTCTGTTTGGCAAAGCCACTTTCACAGACATGACAAACATAAGGCTTCAACCTAGAAAAAATCATTTTCTTCTGTGCAGAGGGGGATTACCAGCATTTCAGAGGTTAGAGGGTTTTATTTGTTTGCTTTAATATAGGTTAATAACAATGTGGGAAACACTGGGAAAATATTTATTTTACCCCAGATGATGTTAAAAAAAATACATTGTGTGCTAGTTAGTTTTAGAAAATGATTAGTTTTATCCAAGGAGTTGTTCCTAGCACAGCAGAGCCTAGTTTTGCTTGATTGTATAACTTTTATTTTTATCTGTGTAGGTCCATCTGATTTTCAGGACACCGAATTCTATGACGTTTTAGTAAATTTGAAACACCGACTTTCCAGACTTGAAGGCGGTAATTTTTCCCGTTTTTACTTTTTCAGCTCACAATTGGTTTTAAGTGCAGTAGGCAAAATTAATTATAGAATCATAACTTGCAGGAAAGAAATCATACTTGAAAATTGTACTATATCCCAAAGCTTCATTTTCTCATCCAAAACAAGGAAGATCAGGACTCATTTTCCCTGGAGAAGCAGATTTCTCTCAGGAACACTAATGCACATTTATTCAAATCTGATTTATTAAAAAAATATTCCAAGGGGTGTTGCACTTTCTGCATGGATCCATGGGACCTTGTCAGCCTTGTACCCCATTGCTAGAATTTTTATCTCTCAGCACCCAGATTGCTAAAGGTGGTAGATTGTTTTCTACTGAGAAGGAAATCACAAAAATTATCATTTCTGTTTCACTTGCTCAAATATGAAGCAAATTGATCCTCTTTAGAGAGTACACACAATATAATAGGGCTGATATAGTGTATGCAGCAAATGTCAGTGGAACATCCTTGTCTTGGAGAAGGCAATGACAGATGGTCACAAGCAGCATAACAATATACTTAGTGAACAACTAGTGAATGGGTAAAATATTGAACATCTTTATTCCTCTTCATCCTTTATTCTCGTTCTTGCCCTCTATACCACTTTTAATTTTCTCTTCATCTCTTGATTTCTCTTTCTTTGCTTTCTCATCAATATGCCATAGGAAATTGAAAAAGCTAACTAGATTTTTTTCTTTTCATGTTTTAGTGCTTGCTTTGAAAGAGAAAATAAGAGAAGTAGGAGAGAAAATGCTTGTCAGCAATGGGAAGCGAGTTGATTTTGCATCTGCACTACAATCCTGTGAAGAGGCTGGAGGAACTCTTGCAACTCCCACAAATGAGGAGGAGAATAAAGCTATTTTGGGTATTGTGAAACAGTATAACCAATATGCTTACTTGGGCATTAAAGAGGGTGAGATTTCAGGTCAATTTAAGCATATAAATGGCATGCCTCTGAATTATACCAATTGGCACCAATATGAGCCTAATGGCGAAGGGAGAGAAAAATGCGTGGAGATGTACACTGATGGGAGCTGGAATGACAAAAAATGCAACCAGTATCGCCTCACAATCTGTGAATTTTGAAGAATGGCCTTTCAGCCACCTCAAAGCATGGAGACAATAAAATATCCTGTGCGTCAGGCTTATGCTATTTCTGCAATTATTCTATGTCAGAGAATCTAAAATTAATCATATTACAGCATTTCTTAACCTTAAGAAAATGCCAAATGTTGTAGGTGATTAACTTAATTAAAATGTGCCTAATCTGATGCGTTCATCTTTTTTGGAGGGTTGGGAATAGCTCAGAATTCATTTTTCATGGCAGACTGTCTCTGTGCACTGTGAAGATTAGAGGAAAATTCCAAGGTTTGACTTGGGATGTTGGAAAAAATCTGAAGTTAAAATTGCCCATGGCTCCACAGTGGAAGCATTTCCAAGTATTTAATAGTTTCTGCCTTAAGAGATGCACAGAGGTTGACTTCACTGGAGCAATTATGGCCTCAGGCTTTGTACGCCTCTGAGTTATAGGGCTTGTGTTGTGTCATGTTGAAACCTGCACCGATTCGTTCAGCATCCGTATTTAACTCTTGTTTTATAAAACTATTAACAGTACCTGTTACAATTAATTTCCTTAGTTTCAGAAGCTACTTTCTCTAAAACTCTAACATAAACATTGCATTAGATCCATGCAGACATAGAAATATATGTATAAAATGCTAAAGATTGCATTTTATTGCTAAAACATCACATTCCCTCATAAAACTATGCTCATTGCAGTGTTAGAATGCCACCTGTCTTCTCCCAAACCACTGAAGAACCACATACTACTTGGGGGGAGCAGGTAGGATTGGAAGTTCAATCAGTTCAAACACAAGCTATTTCTCTGCTGACATCATGCCAAGCAACCACACAGTCAGACCATGACTCAAATCCACTAGGATCAAGAAGCATCTTTTCACAAAATGTTTCCACCACTACTCGGTTCGGGTAGCCGGTGAGCAGTGGGAGCTCAGCAAAGTACCACAAGTAGCAAATTCTCACATGCTTACCTTGCAGTGAGGAAGCCCTAGGCTCATCCATTATCATTTTCACACCATTGGGGGGGGGGGGGGCGGGGGAAAGATGGGGGTTAAAAAACACCACCAAAAACTTCACATTTTGCCCCCTCCCCCACATTTGGCTCCGCGCAGGGAGCCCATAGGAACCTGGACTTGAGTCTGGGTGGTGGTGTCCTCTGCCTCTAGCCTACACTGAGGAGGAGATGGGATCTATTCACATGGTCATTTCAAGCCCCATCAAGTAGCAAAGCTTTAGCATCTTCAGATGCAGGAGATAAGGGGATACTTTTGGCAGTGAAGGATTCGTGTCCAGCATTGCATACAGCACTCCAGCTGATCTGAGAGTGGACAGCGACTTTAAAATGGGAAAAGTACACCCAGGACCATGTTGGATAGATTTCAACATGTGAACCTGCTTTACAAAATAGCTCCCTTTGAGACCTATGACCATGATACCATTTTGGCCAAAAATTTCAAATGGAAAGGGGATAGATCATGCCATGACAAAAATTCTGACTCTCAGGTTACTTTGGGAAAATATAAGGCTAAACTAATACCTTTTCATTTTCCTAGGCTTAGCTCTGACCAGCTACACTAAATCTGCTAGAAAGAGTTGAAGGTTTACTTAAAACTACCTCTACCTCTTGTGTTTTAATTATTAGTATTTTAATGAGTAAACCTTGTTAGCAATTTTTGAATCTTTCAACCATACAGATTCTTTGTTAGAGCAAGGTGATTACCTGGCATAAGAAGGCATCATGTTGAAGAAAGAGACCAAAAAAAAAAAAAAATCATTCTAACAACATGATCTTTTATTATCTGAACAAAATTCACATATTCATTTAGATATATCTCCAACTGGGTCTGGAATATTCTATTCCTTTAGTTAATCAACAACTCATTTCCACCACATTTGTGGTTACAAAGTGACTATACAAATTTCTTGTTTTAAAATCCTTAACATGTAAAATCTTACAAATGGCTTAACACAATGTATCGCCTATCTCTAAACAGATTTAGAGTTCAGGACACTTGGGTGCTTTCCATCCAGTTAAGAAAAATAAGATTATTTTTTCAGTCAAAGGCTAATTTTTGTTACATCAATAAGCAAAGCATCTAGGCTAGATCTCAGAGTCCAATTTCTTTCTGCTTAAGCCATCACTATTGGGGGGCAGGGGGGAATCAAACACACACATGCTGCTTAAAAATAAAAACTCAGTTCCCATCAAAGAACTGCTAGGCAGCACTTTTCCCTCTATGGTTCACACAGATCTGCAACATTTCAGGTAATTGAACGAAGCTCCTCAGTTATTTTCATAAAATATCTCCATATAACATCATACTCATTCTCTTGCTGTGCTCTAGCCTTCCCTTTACACGATCCCGAAGCAGCCCTCCTTGTTCTGTGGCTGAAGTCTTGACTATGCCTCATATATAAAACTGAGGATATCAAGGAGACACCTGCCAGGTTTCTGCCTTCTTTATAAGAAGCTATGTCCACATTCTTTTGTATGACCTTTTATCTCCTAACTTCAATGAACTTGGGGGGGGGGGGGAATCCAGTGTCAACCATCATATGTGGAAGAAATAAAATTCCCTAATAAAAGCAATATTCTATGGACAGACTTGGAATGTGTTTGTATCTCATGGGAGTCAGATGTGGTAATTAAAATCCTGGTGAAGGTACATACTCAGTAGAATGTTACTTGATTATTCTTTGTCATTCCACAGAGGAACAGAAAAAAGTATCCATAAATCATTATTTTGTTCTTTTACATGGCTTTGTGTGTGTGTATAACCCTATCAATTTAAACCCTCAAATGCTGTTTAAAACACTTATAAGAATTTCAGTCTATTTTTTGTGAAGGATCCAAATTCTGCGTTTATGTATTAATGGATTTATTTTTTTTTAAATGGACAGAGAGGTCAAGCACAAGAAGAAACAGAATAAATTGTTTCTCTGTTCTGTTATTGTAGGATAAATAATTTTGATAGAATCTTTCCTTAAAAATCTAATCAGCAAAAATAATCCTTGGTGCATAATGAGCAGACCAGGAAAAATCCAGGTTAGTCTTTTTTCTTAATTTAGAATAACTTGCCACAGAAAAGCAACCTAACAGTAAGATCTTTATTCCAGAAAAATAACTTATTCACTTCTCAAATGCTATAAAAGCATATTTTGAGAATTAAGACCTTAGTATAAGTTAATAGGTCACAAAACTTCAGTCCCTTCCAAAGCAAATGGATTGCATATCACATAAGAGAAATTTAATACAATTGTTATTGTAGTATATTTAAAAGTGAGAGTTTTGTCTGACCATAAAAATGATGGATATTGATTTCAGAGAATTCTCTCTGGTCTAGAGTGATATCCTCTTTTATAACTGTATAATTTAATTAGGTGTTTTAGCTTAGAAATACCATTAGCAATTTTGAGCACTTAGAACCTCTCCCCTGCCAATCCCTACCATATGTAAAGAAATTGACCTTTGATTACAGCAAATAAGTATTTTTCTGTGGCTTCCTGATTTTTGTAGAAATTTGATTTAAAAAACCCACCAAGCCCCATGGTTCTTGGGAAAATTGAGTTCAGATTAAACCTTATGTGAACATAGTAACTGGCAGGATGTGACACAGGTTGGCAGGGCTACCTTATCTTGTATAAACTGTGACCAGTGCCTCCTTTATTTAACTTTTTTTTTTTTTTAAGCCAAATTTAAAGAATAATTACATTATTCCTTTGTTCTTTTCCAGAAGAAAGTACGTGTGTTCGCAAAATACCAGTACTTGCTGCCACAATATGCTAGCAGTGCTGCAAATACAAAGTAGGGTAAAGATTAATCACACATTTTACATTTGTTTGCAGCTTTTCTTTAGAAGTACAATAAGTGTGAATAGGAAAAGAAATATTTGCCACCAGGAAATTTGTTAGCTGGTTTTGAAACCACACTGAAGTGGTAGAAAGCCTAATGGCTCTATTACAATGCTTATGAACCAGAGGAAAAAAATGTTCTTGGGAGTGTTGTGTAATGGTATAATAAACATGTTTGTCTGGACCTCAAAATGTCAGATTACAAGTGATGTTCTACCAGAAGTTGAAATGCACTGTTATAAAATCATATTAACCTACAGTTATACAAACATACCTGGGTTGAAAGCACAATCAATACAGGATGCTTGGAAATTAGAGTAAGCATCTTTAAAAATTATAAAGGGACTTGCCTTTGGTTTGAAGTCCCTGTTAGGATCCCAGGGTTTGGCAGAATTTGGCTCAAGGGTGAAAAGCCAGGTGTGATGTCAGGTGAAACCTGGAATGAAACCTTCACCCATCTCTGCCCTTGTGGCTCAGGAGCCAAAAGGAACTGCACAGCAAAGGCACCTTAACCCTTGAGGAGGCTGCAGTGATGGTAATTATGGTAGTAAAGACTGCAGTGACCCATTTAACCTTCTTCTACAGATCATGGAGGAAAACTGCAGAATATACAGAATAATAGTCTCATCTGGTTCATGAACGAGGGGTTTTCTCTCTCTCCCATTAGAACGCTATTTTGCTCTTAACTATTGAAGAGATGAGATATTTTCTTGCTTTCTATTTGTTATAAACACAAAACTCTATTTCTTTCTATGTTTTTCAGCTGAGCTGCACCAAGTGACATATCAGAGACATCTAGTGACCTCCACTTGGATCCTTCACACTTAACTTGTCAGTGGAACAAGATGGTGGCAGCATTTACAAGCACTGATCACACTGTCTACAGGTAAAATTAAGACTTTCTGCTCTAAAATGCTGCTCATAAAAAAAAAAAAAAGCCATGTTGAAGTTTGTCATCGCAAGTGTCCATATCTTGCTGAATTCTTTGCTGCTTGTTTTTAAAGCTCAGCAAAAATAGCCTCAGCCCTCTTCTGAGAAGGGGAGACACTAGGTTCCATGAGCCGTGCTCTTTCTGATATTCCCAGGCATAAGGGAGCTGCTGGGGACAGTCTGACAATTATTTGGAAGGGAAAAGGAAATACAGAAAGCACAGGACTAGGTGGTAGCAAGATAGGATGGAAACATCAGCAGACCAGCACAAAATCAATGTAAACAGAAAATATAAGTGGGATTGGGGCCATTTAAGTACAAGCAGAGAATAAGAAAAGAATTTTCAAGATTATCTGAGGATGACTAGCACTATGAAAAAAAAAACCACCATCTTTCAGCATGTTAAGTATACAAGGAAAGGCTAACCAACAGGCTCACCGAAGGAACACACAACCACTTTCATAAACTGAAATTCAGCTCTAGTGTCTATATTTCCTATGTGCCACAAGACGAACTGTCAGGGACAACGGTTGGCTTGGCTGAACAGGGAGCTTTTGCTGGGACTCAGGAAAAGAAGGAGAGTTTACCATCTTTGGAAGAAAGGGCAGGCAACTCAGGAAGAGTACAGGGATCTTGTTAGGTCATGCAGAGAGAAAATTAGAAAGGCAAAAGCTCAGCTAGACTTCAGTCTGGCCACTGTCATAAGAGATAAAAAAGTTTTTCAAATATGTTAACAAAAAGAGAGCCAAGGAGAATATCCATCCTTTATTGGATGCAGAGGGGAACATTGCCACCAAAGATGAGGAAAAGGTTGAGGTACTTACTTAATGCCTTCTTTGCCTCAGTCTTTAATAGTGAGACCAGTTATCCTCAGGGTACCCAGCCCCCTGAGCTGGAAGACAGGGACAGAGAGCAGAATATAGCCCCCATAATCCAGTTCATGACCTGCTACACCGCCTAGACACTCACAAGTCTATGGGGCCAGATGGGATCCATCCAAGAGTACTGAGGGAGCTGGCAGAGGAGCTTGCCAAGCCACTCTCCATCATTTTTCAGCAGTCCTGGTCAACAGGGGAAGTCCCAGACAACTGTAGGGTTGCCAGTGTGACACCCAGTTACAAGAAGGGGCAGAAGGAGGATCCAGGGAACTACAGGCCTGTCAGCCTGACCTCAGTACTGGGGAAGATTATGGAATGGTTTGTCTTGAGAGAACTCACATGGCATGTGCAGGACAACCAGGGGATCAGGCCCAGTCAGCATGGGTTCATGAAAGGCAGGTCCTGCTTGACCAACCTGATCTCTTTCTATGACCAGGTGACCCACCTAGTGGATGAGGGAAAGGCTGTGGATGTTATCTACATGGACTTCAGCAAGGCCTTTGACACTGTCTCTCATGGCATACTCCTTGAGAAGCTGGCAGCTCATGGCTTAGACAAGTGCACTCTTCACTGGGTAAAAAACTGGCTGGATGAAGGAGCCCAGAGGGTTGTGGTGAATGGAGTTAAATCCAGTTGGCAGCAGGTCACAAGCAGTGTCCCCCAGGGCTTAGTATTGGGGGCAGTTCTCTTTATCAATGATCTGGACAAGGAGATCGAGTGCACCCTCAGCAAGTTTGTAGACGACACAAAGTTGGGAGGGAGGGTCGATCTGCTCAAGGGTAGGGAGGCTCTACAGAGAGATGTGGACAGGCTGGATCGATGCGACGAGGCCAATTGTATGAAGTTCAACAAGGCCAAGAGCCAGGTCCTGCACTTCGGTCACAGCAACCCCATGCGGCGCTACAGGCTTGGGGAAGAGTGGCTGGAAAGCTGCCCAGCAGAGAAAGACCTGGGGGTGCTGGTTGACAGCCGGATGAATATGAGCCAGCAGTGGGCCCAGGTGGTGAAGGCCAACAGCATCCTGGCCTGTATCAGAAATAGTGTGGCCAGCAGGAACAGGGAGGTGGTTGTTCTCCTGTACTCTGCACTGGTGAGGCCGCACCTCGAGTCCTGTGTTCAGTTTTGGGCCCCTCACTACAGGAAAGACACTGAGGTGCTGGAGTGTGTCCAGAGAAGGGCAGCCAAGCTGGCGAGGGGCCTAGAGCACAAGTCTTATGAGGAGCGGCTGAGGGAACTGGGGTTGTTCAGACTGCAGAAAAGGAGGCTGAGGGGAGACCTTATCGCTCTCTACAACTACCTGAAGGGGGGTTGTAGTGAGGTGGGTCCTGGTCTCTTCTGTCAGGTGGCTGGAGATAGGATGAGAGGAAATGGCCTCAAGTCGCACCAGGGGAGGTTAAGATTAGATATTAGAAAAAATTTCTTTACTGAAAGGGTTGTCAGACATTGGAACAGGCTGCCCAGGGAAGTAGTAGAGTCACCATCTCTGGAGGTGTTCAAAAAGCATGTAGACAAGGCACTTCAGGATGTGGTTTAGTGGGCATGGTGCTGTTGCATTGATGGTTGGACTTGATGATCTTAAAGTTCTTTTCCAACCTAAATGATTCTATGATTTCTTGAAGCAGCTAAGAAAGCAGTGTTGACTAACTTTTGTCCTTAACATGTTTTGCATTTACCTGCCTACATTATGCAACACAGCCTACTCTGAGAATATCCTTTATTTGCTTCACTAGCACTGAAATTACAAAACTTCTTAATGATAGATGTGGAAACCCAGAAAAGTTGCCTCAATACTCAAAAATCATTTGTTCATTATCAGATCTGTATCCTTGAACCTTCCTACACTTCTGTAATATGTGGCTTAAAGCAAGATCAGAAAATAGTTTACAAGTTATGATAGTTACACAGGATATTCTATTAGGCAATCATAACCAAGCATAGCAGAAGTGTAACTACTTTGAAATATCTATTTTAGCTTGCTCCATCTTATCAATGTGCTGATAAAAATCAAGATAGGAAAAGTTTAGAATTTATCAAATCTACATCAGTTCTTCTCAGGAGTCTATCACCTAAGAAAACTTGTCTCCCTCCAGGTTTCCCAAGCCATCAGTCAGCATGTGAAACCCACTTAACAGAGGCCAAGCCTCATTCTCTTCTCACACTTTCCTAACCTGCAGTTACTTCCAGATAGAGTTGAAGTGCTGAAGTTGTTTTCACCACAGATGCAAAGGCCCAGATACTGCCAGTGACCTTTCCTACAGTTCATCTGGACCCCAGATGTCAAAGAACAGCTTGTCTCAAGTTCTGGGTTTGGGGGTTTTTTCCTCCATAAAACAATTGGAAAGCCTCAGCCAAAAGAATGTTAAAAGCATTAAGTCAAACACTCAAAAGCTAAGAAACTTGAAATTTAACAAGAAACTTTAAACAAAGGTTACTCATGCAAATTTAAAACAGCCCTCTTCTGTCAAGGTGCATACAATAGAGTACTGCTTATTTATTTTTCACAGGACTGGTGCCTTTTCCAGGGGACTCAAACAATGCTGCAGGAATTAATCAGGCTTCTGTGGGCACACCACTAGTGACAAAAGACTCTACATCGGTTGTTGAAGTATGAAAGTGCAGAGTACAGGTGCAGAGTGCCTGTGGAGGTGACCTAGGCTTACTTAGATCCAGTAGCCTTAGGCTAATATGGATATTGCTCACATTCCCCATCTAATCTCAAAGCACCTATTCCTCAGCTGACTCAGCTGTTAGCCTTGTTGCAACACCAGGATGATGTGACCACATCTTATTTGTTTGAACTTGAGCACAGCCTGAAACTCCTTTCCTAAAAGTTTCCATTAGACAGAAACAGCTCTCAGCTGAGAATAACTTAAAAATGCATGGCAATGCATTTCCATTTCAGCAATGCACCACAACTTGAGGACTCTACTTACAGGACTGGTTTAGAGCAGCTTTTTCCTTCACTGAAAGATCATTGTTCTGTTGGATAAAACTTATTTATGCTATATAAACTTCCCCTGGAGTATTCTGCAAGTTATTTAAGTATGTGCTTCTGTGGCTGTTACCTCTACATATGCTGCAGATGTATCCTTGTCTTTTGGCTTTGCTGCTACAATTATAAGATTGTTTAGTTACAGGACTTCAGTAATTATCACTGATAAGTCCTCAGTCTGCAATGAAAATGATGGTGGGGTTCCTGGTGCATATTATAGTTCAGGTGAACTTGTCTTGGCTTATCTTCAGAGACATTTACAATTTAACATTTACACAGCTGTTCTGTGGAAACATTAGATATTTTGAATATGTATTGTGAAATTGCTTTGTTCTGCTCCAGGGTTGGTTTTTTAAAACATGTGAAAGTTTCTACAAAGCAAGAAAGTACCCTCAAATATTTTCCTCACATTTTAAGTGTTTACCTCTTGAAGAAAACCACCCCCCATCATTCAAGTTAAAGTTCAATAAATTTCTATTAATATGCAAATTCATATCATATTATATGCTCTTTGTATTTCCTGTAGGTAACAAGATGAATCTCAAGTTACATGCCCTATAAATTAGACCATTTAATGAGTCTTTCTTAATTCATATTGAAGCTGCTAGGTAAGTTGAACATCTTTAAATATGTTTTCTTTTAAATTATGTTGAATCCTATTAAACTGTATCAGAAACCTTTTCATTTTAGATTTTTTTTTTTGTGTCTCAACATTTTTATTAAAACTTTCACCTGCTTTTACAGAGAATATCACCTGAGGTGAAGATACTTTAAGAGATGGATGCCATAATGGAAGAATAAGCATTAACAATTGTTTCACTCTTAAACCAATTGATAAAGACAGCATATCCCAGTTTATCTTAACCTGGCTTTCTCTTACTAAAGCAGGCACGTATCTATTGCTCCCCTGTAAAATTAAGGCCAAAACTATGCCATTTTCCCAATGCAAAAAGCTATATAATGGTATCTGCTGTACAAAAAGGAGCTTTGAAGGGGGTGTTTTGGTTTTCTGCTCTGTAGACTCTTGTAGACTAGCAGACTGAGTCTTTTGGAAGAATATTTTAATTATCTGAAATAACGTAACTTTGTAACTACATCAATGACATTCATGTCACTGAGGGCAAAGCTCAAGGTGCATAAAATTTCAAACCCAGACAGCAAAATTCTGAAACATGTTTGGTTTTTTTTTAATGCAGGACTCTACACCAGAGAGTAAACCAGTCTGTTTTACATTTGGCTCTAAATAATGCTGTCTCCACAGTTGTTCCACAAAATCTTAGCAGTAGCTTTTTCTCTGCTCCTGTACTGTGCTCAAGGTAAACCTGCAGTTAATTCTCCACCACCTGTTTTCAGGAACTTGTCTGAAGATCAGATAGATGAAAGATTTATGCTAGGTACATACAGTTACCATCTCCATTTTTATCTAGATGTACCATTGTGTTCTATTTTTATGCTTTGTAAACTCAGTGCTATCTTCTATAATCTGATGTGGGTTCTACTTGATAGAAAATAAACAGATCTTTATTAATTCCTTGTATGAAGGAAGATGCTTAAATTTCTCCTACTTAATGACGCAATGGTTCAATTCATAGAGAAAAGGATATCATTTTCCCTAACACGGGGCACAAGAAACTTGTTGCTAGGTGTTAGGCTGAAGCTCCAAGCAAGTGCTTTAACAGCCTGAAGGATTCTGTCAACAAACCCTAGACACAGTTAAAAATCAACTAAACCTACTGCACAAGTGCCAGTGTTTTACCTGGACTGGCTCAATCACTTAGAGTGAAGACTAACTCAGTTTGCTAATTTGAGTTTTCCATAAACCTCACTGCTCTACAGGTAGTTTCCAGGAATGTATTCCCTATCCCTACAAAGATCAGTGTGTGAAAAGATCCCCTATTTAAAACACAGCAGTAAACTAAAACAGGTCAGACATACATTTTCAAAGTTCATATTAATTTCACATGATTACCTCCACTTTATCTTGAAAGCCAAGATTCAAACTGTAATGCAAAGCACCTAATAGCTGGTTTTTTTCATAGGTTCAGATCTCCTCATTGATAGTGAAATGGAAGGTGTTATCTGTCAGATAGAACATCGGATTTCCAGACTTGAAAGAGGTAATTTATCTGCCTTTACTTTCTGCTGTAGCTGGATTAGTAGGCATAAAGAAGATGAGCAACAAAATGGCTTCTTAGGAAAAAGGCAGAATTTTCTGCAGTTTTGTTCCATTCCATTTATATTTTGTTCACTGGTAGATCGGGGCGCAGGGGGTGGGTGGGGTGAGGGGAAGTGCTCCATGGGCACCTCATGCTCCTAGAAAACTGAACACTAAGAACACACTAAAACAATCACAGCCAGATTGCATCTAAGATCCTATTCACTCAACGACTGACATACACCCTTGTATACTGCAAACCATCTCAGAGCATTTATACAGAGAGTCTCAAATAAAATAATAATAATATACTTTTTCCAAATGTAGAATTCCTCATTTCCTTCCCTCTCTCTCAAACCTCTTTTGTGCTTCTCCTATTTCATTGTCTATATGTTTATGAGTTCCTTCCCTTTTTCCCTTCCCCTCATCTTTTCATAATTCTCCAGGCTTTGGGGGTTTGTCTTTTTTCTTTTTTTATCTTTGATTTCAAGTTTTCCTCTCCTTTACCTTTTCCTGGGTTTAATCTAAAGTTATGGAGAACACCAGCAGGAATTACAGTTGGCAGCAAAGTGAGCACAAAACAATGCATAAAAATTAACAACTTTCACCTCATCTTGCAGTCCTCTACTTCCTAAAGATGATAACAGCATCTGGCGGAAAAATATTTGCTACCAGTGAGAAAAAAGCTGATTTCCATACTACACTGACAAAATGCAAAGAGGCTGGAGGGTCTATTGCCACTCCAAGAAACCCAGATGAGAATGATGCCATTCTGTACTTTGTGAAAACTTTTAATACCTATGCCTACCTGGGGATAAAGGAATGTCTAATTCCAAGTACATTCCAGTTCCTGGGCAGTCGACAGGTGAGCTATACTAACTGGCATTTAAATGAACCTTCTAGCAAAGAGGAAGAAGAATGTGTGGAGATGTACACTGATGGCACTTGGAATGACAAAAGCTGCAACAAGAATCGCCTTATTGTCTGCCAGTTCTAGTGCTTCCCCCTGCCGCTCTGTGCCAGGCTCCCTGGAATATGCTTGCTTATTCCTTGTCTCTTCATTTGTAGCTAGTGAACTCAGATAATACAGCATGAAAAATAAAGTCACCTTTTCCTAGCCTGATTTGTCTTTTAAACAAATACCAGCCATAAAGAGGAGATTACTTATAATGAAAGCAGCGGCTGTGTTGTCTGTTCTGTTATTCACTGCCCACTGAGTTTGATACAACTGCCTATGGGTTCCTACTGCTCTGTTAACCTGCTGATTTATTACAAGAGCAAAAAGATTTCTTGGGCACTAAAGTGACTTGCAGCTACAAGATCTTCCAGCAACCTTTTACCCACAAGCCTCTACCTTGCATGTATTTTGATTTATTTGTGTAAGTTTCCCTCAAACCTATCCACACTGACTCCTCCTACCACTGCTGTTGTTCAGCCTGCATTTCTTTGGCCATCTTCACCCATAACAGATCCCCTGAAAGAAGAAATAAGCAGTGCTGCTAGGGTGGTGCAGAGCTATGAGCACAAGGGGGACTCACCCACCTTACATTTCCCATGGGAAAGCTTTAGAGTCAGCAGGTCTTTAGCCTTCACATACCTGAAAAGTGGTGGCCAGAATCGACCTGTCCTAAGTCCCTCCAGCAACTCCTAATCCCTTTCCCAACTCAAAGCCATAGCAGCACAAGAAGCCCAAGGTCCCATGCCATGTGGCATGTGTGTGGAAGAAAACACACAGGAGCCAACAGGAGTTACAGTGCCCATGTGGTTTAGGGAGATCAGTAGAGCCATGACAAGGCCATTTTTTTTATTTTTTTTTTTTTTTAAGCTAGGTAGTAGAGAGATTCAGATGCAGCTAATTTGTGGGCACCACAGAGCTGCTTGGCAAACCCCCATTGGGATTCCCATGGGGCTAAGCTTAGTTGGTGCCTATATTTCTGAAGAAGCCTATACTCTGTGCTCATTGCAGAAGCTGCTCAGGGCCTGCACTCTCCAGCTCAAGCTAAACAATTAAGACAAAGCTTTCTGAACAACTTTGTTACTGGACTCCAGTCACCTACTGAAGCTGAGTATTCCCAAGGTTAGATTCACAATTGTGCAGCGTAACAGGCAAACCCAGAGATGTTTTTTTCCTTCCACTGGGGCAGTTGACTTCAACATAGCTTAGGCAATGAAGGCTCTGCATAAGCTCCATGACATGTTACGAAGGCTGGTTGAGCATCTGGGCATGCCTCCATATACATAAAGCCAAATGCCTGGCTATCAGTCACACTCACATGTGCCTTATGAGTTCCAACTTGGTCATGGAGAGCTGAGCAAGGAAACATCCAGCTCTAGAGCCAGACTAGCTCCTCTCACCCTCTGTGACAAGGAGACAGAATAGTCAAAGTATGAAGGTAACTGAGGAGGGAACATGAGTTCACAGCTGGTGTGAATGCAGGGGCCAGCAAAGGGGCTGCTTGGAGCCTCACAGCCATGCACATTGCTATAATTCCAGAGCAGCAACTGGCCATGCACAACATTCCTGCACTGGCTTAAATTCAATTACTCAAATATTTTGAGTACACATTCTCACCACCTGCTCTGTGACAAGGCATGGATCTTTCTGGCCTCCATTCAGCCCTCTGCTCAATGTCATGGCCTGTGAATCATTCTTGCTGTTATTCTCTGCAAACTAAGCAATTTCTCTTATAGGTATTTACTTAGGATGATTAATGTCAAACCAAGACACCTTTCTGCTTGAACAATTTGGTGCCTGCAGGTGGTATACCTCCACAGGTTACTTAATTATTCACTCCAGCAATATTCAAATCCTTCTTCACAATAACACATATTAAATAGGACCATGTTTCCCTGTTCCAGGAGCTGTAAAGTTATCCCAACACATGCAAAGAGAAAACACTCATAAGCAAAGTCCTCAGTTTATCCAATGCATCTGTTTGGCACCTAAGGAGATCTACAAGCTGCTAAATAATGCCCTGTTTCTGGACAGAGCCAAAATTTAAACTACTGAATCCTATATCATATAAGGTCTAGATAGACTGTTATGTTGCTATGTTAACCCAGTTGAAACAGGTATGTAGAAGGGAAATGAGGACTCAGGAGTCCGAGGCACCATTTCACTTTCAAACTCCATTCTTACTCACAAATGTTTTACAACTCACCAGTATCTGCCTGACCCATGAGCTCACCTGCCCACAGTCTTAAGCCTTGCATGACTCCTGTTGTGAAACTAACTCTGGCACAAGCATGAGGAAACAGGAACACAGGCATCACCTTGTACAGTAGTTTTCCACTCATTGTACTCCAATAAAGTTTAGGGCATTTGCAATGATTAACATCAGCCTGAGAATGAAGTTGGACCCCCTCCCCAAACATTTAAAGCCAGGGTAAATTTATTTTATCCTGCTTATCTCCAGGGGATTACAGAGTTATCTCAATATTTGAGCTAATTGCAGGTGTAAGACAGTGGCTGCTTTCAGTGTCAGTGTAATGACTATGTGCCACAGCAGAAATGTTCCCCCACCGTCCCATGTTTGGGCATTTTCCCCTCTAGACTCCCAGGGAAGAAGGTAAAGGACTTAATGTGTTACTCCACAGCTACAGATGCTAGCCCTGCTCAGACACCTTAGCTACTTGTGGTACTAGATGAGGACATAAAACCTAAAACAAAGCAAATATTTCTCACCCTGCCTGAAGCTGCTCCCTCCAGCAACCCTGCTGACAGCAGGCAGGTCTGAAACAGGCAGTCTTGACTTAAAAAGCAGATTGGTTCAGCATTTGTGCATCTAATTTATTTCCTAAATCTGAATAAGAGGGCAGCAGAGCATCCTCTGATTTGTAGAAAGACAGGATTCCCCAAGGCTGGCAACTGTTTACTTTGAAGTTTTTTTCTGAAACATTTATGAACTTATTTTAAAAGCCTAATCCACCCTATCCTAACCTTAAATACTAGTTGTGTCTTATAAGACTGCCACCATTTGCCATGTATTTACCTGTACTTGTGCATGTACGGGACCATCCAGGTTGCTGACAAGCCGAACTGTGATGTTGTTCAATTTTCAGCCAATGGAAAGCACCCCTTCCAAAGGTGAGAGTAATGACTCCACTACCAGGATTAAGTAAGATTAAAATCTTACTCATCTTAAGAGTTAATAAAAAAACAGGATAAGCAGATTTCTTAGAAAGAAGCTTTAAAAAGAATTTGGTTTTAGCAAGATCAACGAAGTTAGCGTCAAGTATCTAGAGATGGAAGTCACATGTCTAGTTTGAGGGGAAAAGCGTTACTGATTCTGCCTTGTACAGTGGAAAACAATTATTTCATTTCTTTTCCCCCAGACAAATGTTCAGAAAATTGTTTTTAATTCTATAAAAATATCCATCATGTGAAAAATTATTCTTAACAGTTATTTTCTGTAATAATACCCTAGTTCATATTTTCTGTGTTTCATAAGGGTTTAAAAAAACCTATTGCCAGTTAGGTGACTTTGTGGTCTAAATGGACACGCTTGAAGTCTGAACTTTGGTTTCTGTAGGTGCAAACATACACCCCTTGGGATATACCCATTCCAAGATAGATAGATAGTTGCATAGAGTTCATTCATTGTCCCCACCAATGGGTTTTTAACCCAGGCTGCAGCTTGACACCTTTCCCTGTCATCAGACAAGTGCTGGATGCAGCACTGTGCACAGGTAAGAGGGCCAGTTCTCAGGGACTGAGTAATGCCACCTCCACAACAGCGTGGAGCGGAGCACAGCCAGAGCTGGCTTAGCAAAGCCTCTGAGAAGGTTTCTGGGTGCTTTTTATTCCATACAGATACCGCAGCAGCTTCACTGTAGCCGTGATTTTTCAAATATTTAAATAAAGGTAAGCTTGTAAGTAGCAAGTGGGCTGTTGAACATACGTAGTTGGGAGAGAATTGGATCTGCAACAACCTTAGGGGCATCAGCCTTCATGCTCTGAAGGCTACATGTGCTACTCATTAAATAACTCAGATTCTGACTAGTTATTATTATCAGATTATTCACTTCTGAGTAAATAAGATGATTTACAAGGAAAGCCCAAGTGGTTTTCTGGCAAAAAAGGGCCATCATTTCTCACTACAAGTGACTGCCTCCTAAAGCAGCTTGTGCACGTGTGAACAGCCAGCTATTGTTTTGCTGATCCCGAGCAAACTGTGGTCAAGGCAGAACAGCTTCATCCTTTCTTTGGAAAGGATTGTGCCACTTTAAGAACACCAAGTGGGAGGTGATATACACTGTACAAACAAGTACCTGTGCACACTGCTGCGCTCACCTGAGCCTCGCACAGCTGAGGGGACACTGCCCTCACCCTCCCCAGTTTGTCCCACAGGTCGAACACCTTCTCCAACACGCACCCTTGCTGCCTGACAGCAGAGGATGGACACCCAAACAAAGCGATTTGATTTTATCTGCAGGACTTGCAAGATACCTTGAAGGCACTGAGAAGGTAAGAGTGGACAGAAAAGAGCTGAATGCCTACAGGACCACACCAGCTTTAGAGAACGCCAGAACTTATTTCAGGTAATCGAGTTGAGAAAGATGCAAACATTAAACTAAAATTCAACCGCTTGCTGGCCTTTCTGCAAAAATAAGGGGAATGATTTCTAATTTGGTTAAGAGTTTGTCAGCTTAGAAGGGATGAAGAGGAAAATACAGAGCTGCTATTCATGTAATTTATTTTAAGTTCACTAATATCAAAATAGTTTGCTAAATGGTTATAGAGCTATGTCTGCAAGCGCACTACATAAGGCAATCCTTTATTTCCTTTTAAAGTAAGCAGACCTTCAGCTTATATAAGTTTATTCAAAAGTGTTTAAAGTCTAAATATTTCAGAACAGGAAATATCTATTTGGCTTATAGATGTATATAACGCCTCTCTGCAACACATTCAAGAGTCAGAAAAACTAATAGACATATGCCAGGAACTCCAAGATAACACATAAAGCCACCTTATTAAATGAAATACAGAAATCAGAA